CTAATATAATGTAGATAAATTTGATTGCAGTAACTGTTCACGGATGGGTAATCTTCTGTGTGGCAAGGTGATGAAACTCAAAGCAGAATTGATCAGAAAACTAAAGCTGCAGTTCATGGCCGCTCAGTGTCTGCGGATTCGGACTTTTGGTCATCGCTGTTTTTAATTTATTGTTCGCATCCCATTACAACACACGAACGTTAACGAGGTCCTCCTAAGAACTCGTAGTACTATTCATTTGTTCGACCACATTTTCTACGCTATGGAAGCCAATGAGGTGTTTTTGTTGTAATTCTTGCATGTACCATTTGTACAAGACAGCCGTAAACCAATGTTTATTAATGTGTTGACAGGGATGTGCCTTTGTTTATGTATTTTGGTATAAAGAGGGATACGTTTATCATATTATCACCCCCACGACATGCTACTGAATTTTTTTTCAAGGAATGTGGTTATCTACTTTTGAGTAACTCCGCGTGTTTTTGCGCCGCAAAATTAGTCAGCTGTCTCTTGGATATTGCGTTTCGTTATAAAATCGTATATGCGGATTCTCTTGTGTTCATAGCTATCAATTCGTTGGGCTATTAGTTATTTTCCTGGTATATTGATTCGCTATATGTATTTTCTCGATAATTGATTTGCAAAGTTGAAACGAAAATAGTTTAACAAAAGTTAGCACATATTCCCGCCACCACACAGTACGCTTACACTTTTTTAATTCTACCCAAGCACTATTGTTCTGACTGGCTTACTTGCTGCCAATCTTCGCTTTTTAAATCTGTTCTCGAAAACAAAACGAAACGAAAGCACCATCTGTTTCTTATCAACTGGCTGTTTTAATAATTATTTTATCCCTTGGTTTTTTATCTGCTCGTTTCCCCCCATTTTCTTCGCGCATACACTACTGATTCGGTGTCTGAGACAGACACCGTCTCATTTGTTCTGTGATCAGTGCGTTTGTTACAATTCAACGGTCATCTTGTCAATCATTCCTAAATCGCTTCCACGGTGAACGAAAACACGCCTTCATCGTGCATTGACTGAGAGAGCATCCGCTCTCCGCACGCGCTTATTTTTACCCTTTCGAGTTGTTCTTTTCCGTTTTAATCCGCAAATAGGCTAGATTTTTGTTTCAACATGAATAGAATGAGAACGGGTGCTACTATACGGTCCGTGGGTAGCGGGTTTCATACAAGCGCTCCCGGGCTGGAGGAAACCACGTGGAGGTCAACAGACGACGTGGAGACGAGGCATGGAGAAATGCACAGAGCCATTAGGTAGAGTAAGTGTCTCGCGCCTTCCAGGTTGGTGTCCGAAAGACTCCACACCCGGTTTTGTGGAGACATTGAAAGATATAGCAACGAACCGACCGCAGTGACGTTCTAGTCATTTCTTACCAGGTCAGAATGTCTGAAACGGTATGTATGTGGAATTCGATTGTGTAGTCTGTGTGTTAACCATAGAGGATCTCCTTCTCCCTACCTCAAAATAGGTCCAATCCCTGTGCACTAACTAACCTTGTATGCGTTGCGAGTTTGGCAGCGATCAGTGAAGTTCGCCTCACTGTATTTTGCTGTACGATAAAGATGGTGTTAGATAGCTTTTTCGAGAAATCAAAAATACTGATGGATGAAATTGAAACCTGATTGGCAAATTAGTTTACCTCATTGGTCATCGTAGCAGACTCCACTGATGTGCAGTGGTCCAGGATAAAAGCTGCAATGCAACAAGTTGCACTAAACAAAGTTGGTACCACGAAACGCTGCTACTAAGGTTGGATATCAGAGAAAACCATCCGTCGCTCAACTCTGGCCAGGAACGCCCGTCTAGCTGGCCCTCACGATTACCAGCGACTCAGACGGGAAGCAACCCGTTCTGCCAAAGCAGATCGGCGCAATTACTGGAGCGAAATAGAGATCAAGATGGAAGCCGGAGCCAGTGCATTTCACTTCGGAGATCTCTTTCGCCTCATAGGATCAGCGTCTGGTAGAAGGCAATTTTTACAACCCCTTCTGCGCCATTCCTCCGGGGGACTGATCTACGATATGGACGGTACAATGACTAGATGGGTAGAACATTTTAGTCGACTGCTCAGTAATCCGCATGGCAATTCGTCGGATATTCATCCCGATATGGCGTCTTCATACGAGGTCAACTGACACTACGCGAGAACTATCGGGGCATCAGTCTGCTAGATGTGGCTGCAAAAGCGTTTGCCCAGCTTGTGCTGAATCGATTTGCTATAGTGAGGCATGCACGTACGCGGCCAAACCAAGGAGGCTTCCGACCCGGCAAAGGATGTATCTATCAGATCTTCATCCTAAGGCGAATTCTGGAACACCGATACAAGTTTCATTTATTTTCGCGTCGCATTCGATTCAGTGAACCGCGAGTCACTGGACGATAATGCTTGTGGATGGCGTCCCCGCAAAGTTGGTCAATATAGTGAAAACCCGGTATCCGTGCCTACGGCGAAGAGTCTCATCGCTTCGATCTGAGGTCAGGAGTAAGACAAGGATGCCCGCTGTCTCCAGTGTTTTTCAACTTCGCCGTTGATTGGATTCTGCGTCGGGCAATGGAAGGTTACCAAGGCGTCCAAGTTTACGCGGATTGCTGGCGTTTCTGCAGCTCCGAACCACTCTATGGCACCGGAACGAGATCTGCCTCAAAACCAAGCTCAGAGTGTTTGCCACACCAGTTCGACCAGTCCTACCATACGGCTGAGAAACCTGGTCGCTGAGAGCTGAGGACATGCGACGATTGGATGTCTTCGATTACTGGTGTCTTCGATTCATCCTGAAGGTAAACTGGCGGGACAGGGTCTCAAACTGGGACCTCAGAAATCGATGCCAGGTTGCTCATCTCTCAACGCACATACAACGCCGCCGACTGCAATGGCTGGGCCATGTTCTTCGCAGACCCGACGACACTTTTATGACTATTGTCTTTGCTCCGACACCGTGTTCTGAATGGCGCCGCCGACAAGGGGGAAGTAAAAACCTGACTAACACTGTATTCGAAGACGTCGACCAACTTGGCCTTCGGATAGTGTACGACACTCGTCGATGAAAACAAACTGAATTAACATTTGCAAGGATCTTGCAGCCAACCGCCAAGCATGGATAGCGGCCATCAGAGACATTCATGGAGCCGGTTTATCCTTTTCAAGGAGTCAGTCGTAGTGAAGTGAAGTAAAGTAAGTAAGTAGATAGCTGTTATCATTACCGTAGAATCACATGTGTCAGATGGGAGCGTCTTTATACACATGCTGAATTGATACCATTCCTTTGTTCTCGCTTTTAATGCTTTTATGAGAGAAAATTATCCAATTTTTTGCAGACGGTTAAGTCATCATCTGCTGAATAGCATGTTCGGTTGCATCGAATGGCTGATTGAAGTATTGATTCCATCATGATTAGTATTAGTTCGGGTGTTGGTTTTAAGTTTTGGACCGGCAGAGATATCCTCAGTTAGCTTATTTTTCTTCTAACGAGGGGTTAAATAGGCTTCCAGACGCGTATCCTTGATTGCGTAGTTAGTTTTTTTTTACCAATCACACGATATTTTAGGATCACCCTGTTTCGTCATTTGTCGCTTTATCCATTTCGTTTGTTACAAACAGAATTTTAAACCTACAATGTTTTCGAAAAAAATTGTTCCTAGACGCTTATTGCCTCTGGCTGTCTATTCTCCGTTTTTTTTCGGTCATCATCTTTTCCGGACATTTCAGTGGGTGTATGGGGGCGGGGGCGGGGGCCTCCAGTCTTGTCACATCCCTTGCGACATGCGACAGATATATGTTCCCGTCACTTATTTTCGTGCTTGTGCGAATAGACTTTTGCACACAGTTCCATTTTTGCTCCAAATGCATGTCTTAAACAGAATTTTATTTACATGTGAATCTCGTTTACCAAGTCTGGTTGTGTCAATGTGTGTGCGTGTGTCCCCCTGTACCCGTTCCTGCTCGGTCGCATAAACCGACTGGCTAGACTTTTTCCACATTTCCTACTTTTTTCCCCATCTCTTCCGTTCTTTGTCTGGGACTCCCTAGTATTTATATGCATTTGTTAATAGCTTCCTCTGGTCACGCTCCTGAGACGCCGTCGGTCTGTTTGCAACATGAGAGAGAGAGCAGCGACCAGTTGGCATGATCCTGATTTACAGCAGACTACCATCGCTATGCTCTTTTGTTCTGTACTTGTTCACACGCCTTGTTCAACTCCAGAATACTTATGTCTTCTATAAATTGTTTTCAAATAAATCCTTCGATTCCAGTCGTCAGGATTTGTTGTTCTTTGGGACATATCTTACTTGCAGGAGAGGTCAAAACATTTCATTCCCTCTTTGATAGCTACTCAAACCAAATGTTTTCACGTTTCACTCAAGGAGTATGTCGGCTGCGAACTCAATCGCCACAATCAGATTTCAAGCCAGTTTCGGTGTGCTGCGTCTGTTGTTAACTTATGACCGTGCGAATAATTTTTGCTGTTACCACAAACTGACTAACGGAGGGGTTTATCCACACTAGCGGAACATTCTTGTTCACTCATCATACGCCTTCTCGGCCCAGCCGAAGCACCGCTATCAACCACATGCTACATCTTAAATTAGACTATTCGTAAATCACTGGTATGCGCCATGCTATGCGATCTATTAATTAGTAGGCGTCATGTGTATTCTTAATACAATTTAAGTGTTTTTGTCATTTAAACGCTGACAATGTCCCACTAAGAATCTCGGATTAATCTCCCCACTTATCGACTGTACGCCGTCGGAATTATCACGTTTTAACGTAAAGGTTGTGATCTCGCCAAAAAATGGTTACGTGACTTTTAAACCAGTTTTTGTTGTTTCAGTCAGCCAAGGAGTGTGTGTATGACTATTTAAGATCAATTTTTTCTTTGGAGTGAACATCTACAATCGGAATAAATCATACCGTAATGTTTGCCTCCAATACGCACAAGTGGTTTACACTTTTAACCGCTTTCTTTTTCCAACAGCCTATCAAGCACTGCAAGACGCGAATCTGGTCTCCACTCTACTCACTCAATCCTCGTTTGTACAGACAGGCGCCACTAGTTTTTGTTCCGCGTCCACTTCTGCCAACTCTTCCGGATCTGGATCCAACCCAAACAATCAATATCCTCCTCAGGCTACTGTCAATTTGGCTCCAATTTTCGCCCATCATCATCATCATCATCCTCATCAAACGGACAACAGCGCCGAGACACTAGGTTCACAGAACGCGGATGGGTACCCACAGTCTTCTGCGCCACGTGGTNGCAAGTTTCCCCATTACACAGCATCACCATCCGCAACTCCTGAATCCAATTAGCGTAGCTCGCCTTATTTCATTGAATCAGCCCATTCCAGCCGCTTGGTCCCGTTCGACAAAGTCCGGAGCCACGGCTAATACTGCTCCGGGAACCTCATACCCCATGCCTGTTCACGTCAGTTCTCGTGCCGCACACCAACACGCCCAATCACAGCATGCACCCATTGTAACAGTATCCTATCCGCCTCATCCACAGACTTCGACTGGCGGTAGCACTCCTACTTCCACATATTACTGTCCGTCATCAGGTTCGAGTCGAGCTGTAAGCACAGCGCGTCACGCAGCCACAGCTGCGGCTTCTGCCATACTGGAGGGTCATACAGTTGGTCGCCTGGCGCACAGTTCCCGTGGGGGAGCTAATCCCGGACGTCATAGTCCACATACAAGCGGAATCAATCATCGCATTGCACAACTGCAGCTGAACCAGACAGATCGATCTGTACAATTGATCCTGTTGCAAGACATAAATCAGGTGAGCTTGTTGTTTGTTAGACTGTCCACGTAATACGGATTTGTCCTAGAAACAAGTTAAACCTTCGGCTAATCTTGTCATCTTTGGTGGGTTTTGCTGAACTTTGCTGACCTGCCGGAAATTAGACGGAAACCTCGAAAGATGATGGTATGCGTAATTCAATAGTGAGACTTGAGTAATCATTCACGTCTAACGATATTTATCATTTAAACTACTACTACTGCTAGTTCTACTTAGTTATTTCACACAATCAGAATTTATGCGTGCTAGTACTCGCCCATGCGTACAACTATCGTGTTATTGTATTATATAATACAATAATACATGCGTACAGCTACACGTTTGAATGTTCTGTTCCACCTTTCCTCCTCATTCATAGGAAATTGGTCAATCCCATAGTCAATGATTTACTGTAGGGGGAAGGTATGCGGAACATTCCGGTGAGAACCATTCTTTCAAATTATGCTTTTGAAAAAGAAAATACGATTAAAAGTGTTTGGAATTAGGGAGCTGTGAAGAGTGTTTTGCAATTTCGAAATCGAAAATGGGTTTGGAAGATAGGTTTCTGACATCCTGAGTAAGAAGTCGGATAATAGTAACTTTTAGTTACCACCATATTTTATTTCTACGACCTATTCAGGGTATTTTAGGTTCCTTTGCCCGTTCCTTAAATCTGAGCAAACCGATGCACGACGTATCATCCGTGAGCCGCATATTTTTAAAATTCACTTCTCTCATTTGCTCGATCTTTTTTGCTCCAGATTCTTCTCATGGGTTTCGAGGAGACATTGATCAATTTGAATGTGCATGGCTTGGTTCGAGCTGTGTTGGAAATTCTTGAGTGTGAGGATGACACTCTGATCGAACTGAAAACACTTGGTTGTAATGTGCTCACACACATGATGGATACACTGCCGCGCAGCTCGGATGCCGTGGTTCCAGCATTGCCTCTTTTGCTCACAACCATGTCGTCTAGTTTTGTCGGAGACATACTTGAACGCATTATCAACCTGCTTGAACAACTCTCACGCCGTCATGGTCGAGAGGTCTTGAAAAGTGGAGCGATTGCGGTAAGTTCGATTTCAGCTCAAGCTAGAGATGAAAGGGAAAGGAAAGGATTTCGTCTGATTTTACTTTAGAATGTTATTGTTAAACACGATCAGAGTAATGGCTTTGAAAGTTTTTTCCCTGTCGAGGGGTCCGGAAACTTCACGGTTGTTTATTTCAGATCACCTGAGTGTAAATAGTGTCTAGGTGAGATTGGTATCGCTCCGTACCAAGCTTTGTCTCGCAGAGGGTATGGGAACAAGCGGGGGTGGGGGCACTTGTATAGATAAGTTCAACTAGTCAATTGCTGTGAAATCCACAATTCAAGTTTGGTTCCTCTTTCGACGATCATTGTTAGCTGAAACATTTACCACGACTATTGTAATTTTCTACTCTGTATATCGACTTTATATATTTTCTGTAACCAATAAACTACTGATGATTCTGCTTTAATAACAGCCCGCGAGGCACCATTAAAAACGTATACTAACTCGATTCACGTATGGGCCCCATTCAGCGACATTCGATTGTTCATGACTAGTTGACTGCATGCTGCATCTTTCCGATGGGTTCTTGTGTATGGTGCAGAATCACGGCCCCCTACCTGAGAAAGATGAAAACAGACTATCGATCACTCCATCACGTGATTTGGGAGGACCAATCGGGCGAACAGTTTAGTTTCAGTTTAAGCAACCATTAAGCCATTCCGTGTGAACAATGAATTCAGATATCATGCTCAAAGTTCTTCTCAATCACGGTTATCCACTAGAGCAAGTACGTAACCTCCATAGATTAAGATACCCGGATTGGCTTCCTCAATGTTTACCGAGGCCGGCAGTGAGTGGAAGAAGGCTAAATGAGGAGAGGGGAGGATAAAAACCTGTCATAAAAGTATCATTGTCGCAACCGGGAGAGCCGCTCATACAAGTCGCGTAAGGCTTCCCGTTTAGTGACCTCAGGATCGGTGTAATCGATGGTTAGATGTACAAAATGTTTTGGTTGAATTTCGGCTTTCACATCTACTCAGTTTATTGAAATATTCACTCCATCCTAAAAATGTTGTCGATCTTTAACTTTTGCCGTCTACTCTCATCGTTATCCGATCAAGTGGGTAGCCGAAAGATATCAACCAAAATCACCTCGACGAAAGTGTTGGTGTAAGCACTGAAGCCAATTCCTTCCTCAGCGCTACTTCTACAGCAGTATTAGGGCTACACTGATTAGTCTATTATTCTCGTTAGTAGCTTAGAAATGGTCTATCTGAATAGGTAATGTCTAATGCGTCTTGTCTGAGTGTACACATACAATGTTCTATCGATCGCCTGGTGAAACCGAGTGTTGTCTCTGTCAGTCTGTCCGTTTTGGCCATATCTTTATGCTAAACTGATGGACCAATGAGAGCGGTTGGATTGAGCAGGCGTGGTATTTCACCCTCAAATTAGGACAATATGTTTGTATGTGCCTGTCGGTTATCTGTGTCGTGCACTCGGCCGCTCGCCCAGGATTTCGAGCCTTGATTTAACGTATACCGTGCTCCATTGGATGCACATGTCTACGTCATGTGATTCGAGAGATAACCGGATTGTTTCGGTGTTGTTGCTGGCCTTCTGTGTAAGAATTCTCACGTGAGCACCTCTGGATTATTTTCTACAGATGCGTTCGAAGATTGTCCTCATTCATTAAATCAATTATCTCACACAATGCAGACTCTGCTGACCGCGTCCAATAAGGCGTTCATGTCTTTCTAACGATGATAGATACGCCTATGATGAAGAGGTGACCAGCCTCATTCTAGTACAGTGAAGATTATGACGGTGATTGGTGTCTACTAGTAGAATTTTATGGTACTGCACTGAATTCTTCGGAGGGTTTGCTTTTGTAAACGCAGATGGTTTCATTTTTTCAATTGGTAACGGATTCTTTTCTTATGGAAACGTGAGGTCTTTTATTCATCTCACGATCGCTACACGCTTCCTTTCCTTGTGAATTGCACATATCGAAAATTGTGTACTCATGATACGAATAGCCGGTTTACTGGTATCTCAAGTCTGGAAAAGTTTTCTGTACCCTGACGGGGGGATTTTAACTATGATTCACAAACAAGGAAGCTAGAAAATAAACTGTTAAAAACGAAACAAGCGAAATACTGAAGTTAACCTAAAATGTAAGGTTTACGAGAAGTTGTTCGTGGTTGATTGAAATCCACTCTTGATTAGGAATACTTCTGGCTTCGTACACATACGGAAGAAAATTCCTCCACCTGATAGACAGATGTACGTATCTCCAATGGAGTTGGGAAAACTCATTCCAGTATTGCGCGGTGTGTTGAATGTTGTTAGTCCTAGGATGACTAGCATGACTGTAAGAGCCACGGAAGTTCATAAACCCCGAGGTAATAATACAGGTTACCGTGATTTTCTTGGTTTACGACCTGATTTATTGTGGTGTTGGTTTAACGTCGCCTGAACAGAGGGAATTTTTCGTTCTTTTATGTGGGTGAACGTACAAGAGTTAGGAACAGAGTTGAAGATTTCATTGTGTTAACAGTGAGTGGTGGATTAACCCATTCGTTTTGTTAAGAGGTACTAGGCACTCTTAGCAAAACGAATGGACTATTCCATGCTTACTACTCTAAAGCATGCAGGTATTTTATACAGCTTATCCGGGATACCGGTTAAAACGGAAAGAAAGACGTGATAGCGCGAAGACACATTGCAAACATTCAGGGAGTTTGAAGAAGAAAGGTTGCAAGTGGCAGAGTCCAAGTTATCAGAAAATTGTAACGGATCAGAAGTATCTTAGATAGCCTGACATGAAACCACATTATCAGCGCATTTGAAGAGGGACTTCTGGGGCGTTTGCAGAAAAAATCGATCATATACGCAGACAANGACAATCGTTATGGGTAAAGCATTGCACCCCAGAATTGTTCACCAGTGGTTTGGACTTTCTTCGCCCTAGCCGAGTAAACGGAGTTCCCTCGGGGAAGCAATCAACAGTCCAAGCCAATAACCTTTGGGACAACCGAAGGTTTGCAGTTTACGACGATGATGTAGGTAACGAGGAATAGAACCAAAAGCATATCAGTAGTGTAGAAGTATACACTGTACATATTTCGTCGAGAAATCCAAGGATTTGGTAGTTTTATGCGAGGAAACCACATCCAGCGTGGATCTGTTTATTTTTGTGGCAAAACAATCAAGGTTATATGGGACCGTAAAAGAACACTGACTGTGTGGGAATGACACGAAAAACTTCTTTAATTCTAACAGAAGTGAATGTGATACGACAGGAGCGTTTGGTTAGAACGATTTGGGAAGCGTAACAATTGTTGCCGGTTTCCAACAGTCTAGTATCCAGCACTTTCTTTAAAAGTGTTCGAAAAACCGCTAATATTTCAAGGAGGGTATATGCCCCATATCTCAGAAGGGAAGATAAAAAAAGCCATCGGGACATACACTGCATGTGGTTTTCACGGTACGCAAAAGCTCAAAACTTTCTTTCGAAACGGCCGCTACTTGAACGGCATCATCCAGAACCAATGACGTGATGGCATCGCTTGATGAATTGATAACTGCTGCGTCGACAATGCCCAAATCCGGGATTTCGGCTCTGGTTCTACACAGCAGTTTTTTACCTTGCGTAATTCGCCTACCATTGTTAAATTGCCGAAGCTGAGAGGTGCACCACGTAGAGAGGTGTTTGATTTTAGCTTTTATCAGGTTGGTATAATACTGGATATCTGCTGAGTCTCTAGATTTTTACGATCGTTCCCTCTGGTTTCTAAATGATTTTAACAGTGGAGATACTGTCCTGCCCACACATCAAAATAAAGTTTTCATAGATGTGTTTGAGTGTTCAGTAAACTGCCTTATGTAAAGCAAGACGGGAGGAAAATCACCAAGAAGCAACGTCGATGGAAGAAGAGTGTCTGTGGGGAGAGAGATTGCGAAAGCGAATAGTGGTTTGGGGATTTTTGTAAGTGTAATGAGAAAGAAAAGGGAGTATACTGTGAGTCCTTTGATAATCAAAGTGTTATCACAGTCTGGCCTCAGAAGTGGGAATAGGTACTGTAATTTTTGAAGTGAAATGTACCGAGTGATTAATGACTACCTTGTCTAAAAATAAATCACCTCTTGTGGGTGATAGGCTGAAAAAGGTACTGGTATATGTGGACGTGTGACTAAAGTCACCAACAACAATACGGAGACGGTCCTCTAGTTGACGCAACAAATGTATCAAAGAATGAAATATGAGGCAGTACAAAAGAGAGCTGTGTATGAATTGTTTATGTTGGTGCCTCTGTGTCACAAAATGTAGGAAGATATGGAATAGTTAAAAAGTCGATGTAATTGGCGGAATAATTAAAAGTAATCTCGGAGTTGCTCATCCAGAAGGAGTTGTTGTAAGTGATCACCCCACCTATTTTCACCTAACAGTGGTTTCCGTTCCTACGGAAGGATCTAAAACCATTGATTCCAACTAATGGGTCTTCAACATTTTGGTCATGCTAGGTTTCTTGAAAACGCCTGTTGCGGTGAATGCGTGAATCGAGAGTGCACTTTAGGTCCGATGGAGCAACGGTCGTCTCCATTAATGGACTTATAGGTGCGACAACAAATACGATCGAAAGTCAAAGAAGTCATAGGTAAAACTAAAAAAGTGAGAGTAAAAGTATCAAACCCTGGGGGAAACCAACGTCCACAAGCACGGAATGAGACGGTCCCATCGTCTCGAACGGGGATAATTTGCTGTTCGGGATACAAGTTCCGAAGAAATGCCACATTTGGGTTGTGCCGTTGTTGCGCGTTTGAAAGAACGATTGGCGAAATCGGAGAGGTGAGTGACGAGATGCTGATTTTTCTTCAAGAACTACGCGACAGCAAGTGTGGTTGAACCATTCTGGGAAAAGAGGTTTTCTGCGTTTAGAGAAGTGAATAAATAAGTAAATAAATTAGTGCAATTTTTGTAACATTTACAAGTTGAGGTAGAGACATCGACGGAGAAACATCAGACATTCTAGGGCTGAGGAGCCAGGGGAGTAAAAGACTAATTGGGCAGAAGTTAGATGAGCCAGTTGAAGGGAATGCAATTATTTTAGAGAATAATCGAGGAATAGATGTGGAGCCAAAATCGAGGGTGTGCGCATGGTCGCTAGCACGGTGGGAAAATCAGCCAGGTTGTTCAATACTGCGAATGCTTCTGATTCACGTCCAATCGTTGATTTTTCTGCAGAGCGTAACAGCTGTTCCCTGTTGTGAGTGCTAAAATTACTCCAAATTGTGTGCTGAGCTTCGGGAACTGGCGTTTCATGAGATTTGTGGGGGAACGAGTTAAAAACTGTTGACTTATGAGTAAATGCGCAAACAGCAGCCTTGGAGATCAGTGAGGTGGGAAAATTTTTTCGCACACGGCTGAATTCATACCGTGTCCCAAACAAATCACGGTATAATAGTATTTATAAAAAGAAAAGCGTTTCATGGTTTCCTTGTGGGTGTGATACTGGCATGTTTCCCAGGCTTACGCAGGTGAATTTTCTTAGGGAATTCACTACCGAAGCCTTCGGCTAACCACCACCTTCCACTGCTCCCTCTCCTACCTCACTGCTTGCCATGCCCAAACCAACATCGATGTTGACCGTAGTGTAGTTGATGTGTCACTGGACTTTGATCTCGGACACATCTCCTCCTGGGGCATTACAAACCACGTTTCATTCAATAGTTCTAAGAACTCTCTTCTTTCAATTTCTTTCAAACATCTTTCGTTCTCCCGCCCCCATTTCTCTTTTGATTCCACCCAACTGTTTTCCTTCTTGGATTGTCTATAACTTCTTCTTTATGCTGGTCTATTTTCATAGCTAAGCTTGCTTCTCGTGCTGCGCGCAAGGTTGGATTTCTATTTCGCGCCAGACATTTTTCACCCCAGCTCATCTTCTCTTGTACAAAGCTCAAATCCGCCCCACTCTGGAATAATGTAGTCACGTGTGGGATGGGGCTTCGTCCTATTCCTTTTCCCTTCTTGATCGTGTTCAACGAAAGACCATCCGGATAGTCGATGATCCTTCCCTAACATCCAGTCTACAGTCGCTAGCCCATCGTCGGGCAGTTGCTGCATTGTCCCTGTTCTACCGCTACTACTTCGGTTTCTGTTCTTCAGAACTTGTCTCCGCAGTTCCTCTTCCTTCAACTTTTACCCGCCTATCCCGTACACAGACATCCAGTCATCCTTATCCGGTTTCTGTTCCTAGATGTCGTACCTCTCTACTCCAATCTTCTTTTTTTCCCCCGATCTAGCAAACTGTGGAACACCCTGCCCTTGTTGTTTTTCCCCCAACTTACAATCTTGCACTTTTTAAACGCAGAATCAATAAACTGGATCTCACGTGGATGTTCCCCTGCTCTCCCCTTTACAATATGCTATTCGCCCATGAGGATTTCCCCGTTTACTGTAATTCATATTGTTTAATAAAAAATCCTGACCCGCAAGACAGCGGGACGGTGTGAAAACCGCGTTTTATTTAGGGTCGGTGTCCAGGTAATCGGATGGTACACTCATCGGACGGTGTCAAACGTCCAAGGTGCCCAGTATACCTTGATGTCCAATCGAATCGGTGACCACTACCACGGCTAGCGAATGGTTGGTGGGTATGGTTCATACACATCTTTTTGTTTTTGGAATTGTGAGTTTTAGCCAACCCCCGGGTAAACTGCCGTTGGTTCATCGACCCATTTATAGCCCCGGATGTTGAATTTTCGTCCTCACGCTTTGGTGGGAAAACACCGCCAAGAGAAGGCGATGATCAGGGTTTCTTCAAAAGAAACTATTTTGAGACGCTTGGTCTTATGAGGGCATTTCGCGAGGTACCAGCCGCAGCCCGAGACATCCACCCCACCGATACTGAGGCTTTCGGAGGTATGAATGAGGTATGCGGAAAATCATGGGGAAACTGGAGATGATTGGTGTCTATTGTAGAATAAATTTCATTTTCGGATACAAATAGAGCAAGGGGGGGAGTGGACTGAAAAAATACAGAGTATACAGAATCAATATTGCTGTTCAATCCATAAGTGTTATTGAGTCGAGATGCAAGAGTACTAATCCTGTTTGTTGTATCATTCATAGTTAGGTTAGAGAGTTGAC